AATAGGGAAGCCCATCGTGTTTCACTCAAGCTTGGGTGGTGGTGGGGTAGATCCTTTGTAGATTGACCAAGGCTGGGGGGGTCTGAGACCAAGAGGGGAATCAGTCACATCCCCTAGCCCCTCATCAGAATAGGTTCACCTCTCATTATAATATTAACTCTTATTGTTAAACAAAGTTGATTGCCATTTGTCAGGAACACTTACTCTTCCAAGGGTATAGAAACATCAATAGGCCACTATGATCCTTCTTTGGTTCACAAGAGATGGCCAAATAACCAACCCTTTTATTAATTATTTGCTAGCCATAAGTGATAAAACGACGAATTACCCAGAAATTATGTCTCTCAAACTTTTTTATCCACCTCAGAGAGCAGAGTACAGGGAGTCTAGCACCTTGCTTCTAGGAGCTATGCCTCTTTGGATGTAATCCAAGACCACATTAACATTTTTTCTGCCATACCACACTACTCATTCATATTGAGCTGGTAGTCCCCTAAGACCCTCCAGGTCTTTTTGAGAAGAATTGTTGTCAAACTTTGCGCTCTCCATCTTGTATTTGTGAAGTTGATTTTTTGTACCTGAGTGTAAAATTTCTCATTTATTCCTATTTAATTTCATCTTCTTAGATTTGACCCAATACTAAGTTAGTTAAGATCTTTTTGGACACTGACTATATTTCAGCAGGGTGTTAGTTATTTCCCCCAGCTTTGCATCATCTATGGATTGGAAGTGTATGCCATCTGTATTCACGGCATTCCTCTCATCTACTGGTTTAGTAAAAGTCCAAAAAGGGAATTCGATGAATCTTCTGTGAGCTGTTCTTGATGGAGTCATGCTGGCTCTTTGTAATTGCCGCTTATCTTTATATGTATCTGCTAGCCATCTGTTTAATGATCTATTCCCAGGAATCAAAATCAAGCTCACTGACAGAATTTGCAGATTTGGGTCTCTTTCCTTTTTTGGAAAATAGGGACATTTGCCCTTTTCCAATCTTGTGGCACCTCTCCCATTTTCCATGATCTTTGTAATATCCTTGACAGGGGCTCAGCAAGCACATTTTCCAGTTCTTACATTACTCAAGGATTTAGTTCCTTTGGGCCAACTGACTTGACTTCATTGAGGGCAATTAGGTGTTCTACTTTCTCCATACTTTAGGCATCAACTTCTGGTTAGTCATTTTTGTTTTATTTCCTGTGTATAGGGGCAATGAGATGGTGAAGTGGTTAGAGCACTTGGCCTGGAGTCAGGAGGACCTGTGTTCAAATCCAGCTTCAGATACTTACTGTGTGATCTTGGACAAATCAATTAATCTCTTTCCTCAAATATAAAGTAAGGATGATAAAAACAGCCACCTCCCAGGGTTGTTGTGAGATCTATTGAAATAATATTTGTAAAGTACCTGGCACATTGTAGATGCTATAGAAATATAAGGTATTATTATTAAAGTATTTAGTACAGTGCCTGACATGTAGTAGGCACTACTTAAATGCTTATTTCCTTTTCCCAGTGCAAAGGTCATTCTCTTTAGCAGATTAAACAGAAGCCAAATAAAAACAGAGTAGCTCTGTTTTCACATTGTTATCAGTTATCATTGACTCCTCCATTCAAGCAAAGGCCCTATGTTTTGGCCTGGAAGTGAGAACATATGCTCGCTGAGCATGTGCCTGAAAGAGGTCCTTAAGTCTCTGGTTCTGTTCTATTTTTCTCATTTGTATTTCTTGTCTTGAGCACAGGTCACTGGATACAGATCCTTAGAAAGGGATATTTCTAACCTTGTGGCTAACTCATCATTTCAAAGGATTGGGAGTCATTGAAGCAGGTGCTAGTTACTTTGTGGGAGATAACTCTTTCCAGCTACATCCTTCTTGGAAAAGCTGACCAAAGTCAGGAGGATGAGCCTTGCATTCCTGGTTGGCCAGAATATAAGGCACCTCAGACCGAAGATTGAGAGGAAAATCAAATCTGTTTAGCAGTCCCATGAGTGTCCCCACAGTTTTTCTTAGCTCCTAGCAGAGCATGAAAAATGTGATAGATTATAGTTTATGTTTTGAGTATGTGTGGTAGATTACAGTTTATGTTTAAGTATGTGTTAATGCAGACATAGAAGTGTTTTATGTTTTAAGCATTTTTTTTGTGGTAGAGAAAATAGCTGTCCTATACTTATCTACTACATTGTATGTTGAACAACTTTTTCAGAAGGGACCCTATTAAACCCTTTTGGGGAGACTCTAGGCATGAACTACACCTCAGTTTTATTTAAGATATTTTCCCCAAGACTCTCTGGTGAGAGGCATGAGCAAGAAAATTTTTTAAAAAAGCCTGAATCCCCTCTTTGGGGTCAGGCTCCACTCAGGACTAAACCTAACTGACCTATAGGAGCCAGAGATAGGACCCTTCTCTGGAAAGGGCTGCAGGGTGTCATCAATAATCACTGTCCCATCCATCCCAAACAAAGGCCCCATCCTTTCGTGGATCTTCCTTTTCCCCTCAACATACCTTTTAATAAAAGGAGGGAAAACAAACCAACCACTTTGTCCTTTGTCAACCTCAGTTCATTCTGAGTTTCAGCATTCTTGATACTATTTTTATAGGATGTTATCACACTCACAAAGTAATGGTGAATGTTGGGGGCAGGACACTAGTAATTGGGGGTGGGACTCATTCAGGTAAGAACTCATATAGCTCATGGCACTTGAATTGAACTTTTAAGGAATGCAGGATTTCTAACAATATAGAGGACAGCCTGTGCATGCTTGCAAAAAAGGGAGTAGAATCTCCTCTAGTCATAGAGAGATGCTACAACTAGATTAATTTGGCTGGAATACTCAGAACTAGAGGAAGAGTAATATGCAATAAGCTGAAAAGACAGGCTGGAACTGATTTTGAAGGGCTTTACGAATCTGTATCTAAGCTACTGTTTAAGCAGAAATTCTTCATCTGGGGTCCCTAAATTTGTTTCCTTAACATTTTTATAACTATATTTTATCTAGTTGATTTCCTTTGTAATTCTATTTATTTGTTCTGAAGAGATCCCTAGGTTTCACCAGACTGTCAAAAAGGGTCCATGACACAAAAGATGTTTATGAATCCCAGCCCTAGAGCTTCACCAGTGGAGTGTCTCCTACACTTAAAGAGAATCAATTTGGCAACTGAGGAGAGTGGATTGGAGAAGAAAGCCTTGAAGCCAGGCAAGCCAATTAAGGAGTCTCTTTTAACATTCTGGCAAAAAGGCATAATGTCCTAGACTTTCTTCAACTTTCAGCACTGGGCCATGGCCAATATTCCTGATTTTTGTCTTGCCACTGGACTCCAATGACTCTGGACAAGAGAGTGACACTGATGGCTTTGTGCAGCTCTGCCTCACTTAAACCCAATTCACTTTTGAGTCAGGACATCACCATTGTGATGTCATTGGTCCTCCTGAGAACAAAAGCTGAACAACTTTTCAGCTAACATTTCATTTTCTGCAAGAAGCTTTAATGTTATACACACTCAATTGGGTTTGGAAATCTATCTTAGCCTACAGGAAAATAGGGAGGAAAGGGATGAGAGTGGGGGAGGGGGGATGATAGAGGGGAAGAGGTAATCAGAAGCAAACACTTCTAAGGAGGGACAGGGTCAAAAAAGAGAACAGAATAAATGGAGGGCGGGATGAAGGAAATATAGTTAGTTTTTCCACAACATGACTACTATGGAAGTGTTTTGCATGACTGCACATGCATAATCTGTATTGAGTTGCTTGCCTTCTCAAATGAGAGTGGGTGGGGAGGAAGAAAATATGGAACCCCAAGTTTTGAAAACAATGGTTAAAAATTGTTTTCACATGCAACTGGGAAATAAGATATACAGGCAATGGGGTATAGAAATCTATCCTGCCCCACAGGAAAACAGAAGGGGAAGGGGATAAGAGAAGGGTGGGGTGACAGAAGAGAGGGCAGATTAAGGGAAAAGGTATTCAGAATGCACTCCATCTTGGGGTGGGGGGAGAATTTGGAACTCAAAATCTTGAAAACCAAAGAGAAATAAAAAGAAAAAAAATCTTTAAAAAAGAAACAAATAAAAAAGCATTAATGTTAGTGCCTTTCATTGAGATTGTCTCCAATTTATCCTGTATTTATCTTGCATGTACACAAGTAGGGGCAGCAGGTGGCACAGTGGAACAAAACAAATCCATCCAAGGGCAAGTAACCTGCCTCCCTCAGTTTCCTCATCTGTAAAATGAAGACAATAGCATCTACCTCCCAGGGTTGTTGTGAAGATAAAATGATATTTATTAGATGCTTTGAAAACCTTAAAGTACTATGTAAATGGCATGTACACATATATCTTGGTATAGTGTACATGTCTGTCTTGTTTGCATTTTATATGCTTTCTATGTTATGTTTGTCTTATTTGCATGCTACATAAGCATGTGCATGCATGTATGGGGGTGTGTGTATATATATATGTTTGCACATTATATGCGTATATGCCTATTTTCATGTCTTGTCTGCACACTGTCCCCACTGTTGGGCTGTGTAAGCTCTTTTAGAATAGGAACTGTTTTTGCTTTTCTTTGTATCCTCAGCTTAACACGGTATTTGGCATATGCTGTCCTGTTGAGTGGTGACCAACCCTTCCTGACCTATTTGGAGTTTTCTTGGCAATGAAATGCTTTGCCATTTCCTTCTCCAGCTCGCATTACAGATGAGGAAACTAAGGCAAACGGGGTTAAGTGACTTGCGTAGGGTCACACAGCCAGTAAGTGTCTGAGATCAAATTTGAACTCAGGAAGACCTGAGGCCCAGCATTCTATCCACTACGCCACCTAGCTGCCCATTTAGCATAGTAGGTGTTTAATAAATGCCGCTTGACCGACAGGGTCTGAACTAGGGTGGAGGCCTCCTGAATGATCCTTTAAGCTTCTGAGTATTTGGTGAGATGAGTCAGTTAATAAACATGCAGTAATCACTGACTATTTAAATATTCTTCCACAATAAGGTACAATTTTAAAGAGGGCAAGTCTGACCCTAACAAATATGGCGCCTCAGCCCAAGCCACGTAACATCCCCCTAACAGCCTCTATGGAGAGCGGAAGCGGCCAGCCCCAAACAAAGATGGCGAGGGAAGTACGGGAGCCTGGCGGAAGTTACCTCCCACCCACTCGCCCCGCCCCATCCCGCAGTGCAGACAGCGCCAAGATGGCGGCCGCGATGGCCGGTCCGCCGGCTCTGAAGCGGCCGGAGCTGCGAGACGCCGCAGCGCTGTTCGAGGCACATGGAGCGGAGGAGATCCGCGGGCTGGAGCGACAGGTACGAGCGGAGATCGAGCACAAGAAGGAGGAGCTGCGGCAGATGGTGGGCGAGCGCTACCGCGACCTGATCGAGGCGGCCGACACCATCGGGCAGATGCGCTGCTGCGCCGAGGGACTGCTGGACGCCGTCAGGGCCACGGACCAGTGCTGCGCGCGCCTCCGCCAGCAGAGCCACGCTACGGCTGGGGCTACGGCTACGGCAACGTCGCGCCCCGCGCGCATCCCACAGGTGTCGCCCCCTTCCGCAAGCCCCGCCCCTTCCGCAAGCCCCGCCTTCCCTTGTATCTCTGCCCACCTCGCTGCAACTGACCCACGCAGGGCACCCCCCCAGGTCTTCCTCCCTGCGAAGCCGATGACCTCCTAGCCTACGGAGGAACCACCCCGCTGGGCTCCTTAATGGGGAGCACTTTTCATCCAGGAATTCCATTCTGTTCCACCAACACCTGCTCTGTGCCAGGAGTAGCAAGAGGCAGCTTGAGGGATAGTGCAGGGAGGACCAACCTTAGTTCTGGGCTCCAAGATTATAAATCCCAGGACAGCTGCCAATTTGCAAGGGTGGAAGGAAGGAGTTTCCTTTGAGAGGGATTCCCAACATATTGAAATTCCAGGTCTAGGCCACCAAAAAAAAAAAGTCCAAGGCATTGGGTTAGGGTTAGAGAATGAAGAGAAAAAATCTGGAAGGACTGCCCAGCCTTCAGGAAGTTTACCTCCTGCTGAGGGATTACTAATAGCCAGCGTTTTTAGAGTGCTATAAGGTTTACAAAGCACTTTTGCAAATATTATCTTACTCCCACCACACCCCTGGGAGGTAGGTGCTGTTATTCTTATTTTATGGGTGAGGAGACTGGCAGATGTTAAACTGGCTTACCCAGGGGCACCCAGCTAATAAGTGTTGGAGGCTGCATTTGAACTCCAGTCCTCTGGACTCAAGGTCCAGTGCTCTATCTACACTACACTAACCTAACCCAGGAGCCTGTATGTACAGATAAGTAAACACAAAGGAGAGAGGACTAATAAGCCAGAGGATCAGGAAAGACCTGGTAGGAGGTGGCCTGGAGGAAGCTTGGGATTCCTGGAGCCAGAGCTGAGGAGCAAATGTTTCCAGAAAGCCAGAGAGCATGTGGGATAATTTAACTGGATGGAGAGTTGTGTGAAAAGAAGTCATATGAAATAAGCCTGGAAGAAGGAGGTGGGGGTTTTTGTGGAGTACTTTACATGCCAAGCAGGGGAGTTTATATGCTATCCTAGAAGCAATTGGAAGCCACACAAAAGATTTTTGAGTAGGGCAGTGACATGGGCAGATGTGTTTCAGGAATCTCAATTTATCAGCAGTGTGGAGAATTAATATGAGGGCTGAAATACTGGAAGCGGGGAGGGCAATGAGGAGACCATTTCAGTAGCTTAGGCAATAGGTTAAACCAGGGTAGTGGAAAGAAGGGGACAGAAAGGAGAGATGAGGTAGAAATGACAAGAATTACCAAACAGTTGGATGTGGGGTAAGAAAGAGTAAAGAATCTAGGCCAAGGTTGTAGAACCTGCAGCTTTGAAACCACATGTGGCCCTCTAGGTCTCCTTTGAATCCAAATTTCAAAGAACAAATCCCCTTGATAAAAGGATTTGTTCTGTAAAACTTGGACTCCTTGAAAGGCTGCACTTGAGGACCTAGAAGGCCACATGTGGCCTGGAGGCCGCAGGTTCCCCATCCTTGGTTGCTAGGCAGACCTCAAGGTTGAGCAGCTGGGTGCCTGGAGAGATGGTGATGCCCTGGACAGTAATTTGGAAGTTCATTTAGAAGAGGGGTGGGTTTGAGAGGATAACTAATGGAATTTGCTGCTTGAGTTTGTGATGTCTTTGAGACATTCAGTTGGAAATGTCCAGTAGGCCATTGTTGATGTTAGACTTATAGTTTAGGAGAGAGAATGGGCCAGGATATAATTATCTTTGTTATTAATTATGTTAATTGAGTTAAATATGTTAATTGAATCCATGGAAGCTGATGAGGTCACGAAGGGAGAGAATATAGAGAGAAAAGAGAGAAGAGTTTTAGAGTAGAGACACAGTTCATAGGCATGACTTGGATGATGAACCAGGAAAGGAGACCGAGATGGAGCAGTCAGCCAGATAAGAGAATAGCCTGAAGAAGACAGTGTCACAGAAACCCAGGGAGGACAGTGTACAGGAAGGAGAAGATGGCCAGCAATGTCAGATGCCGAAAAGGGATCAAGGGGCATGAGGACTGAGAAAATGCCATTAGATTTGGCAATTAAGGGATGATTAACAGCTTTGGAGAGGGCAGTCTCAGTGGAGTATTGAGGGCAGAAGCCAGATTTCAAAGGGCTGAGAATAAGTGGGAGGAGAGGAAGGGAAGGTAACCAGCATAAACTTTTGAGTTCTTTCAAATAGTTTGGCTGAGAAGGTGAGGAAAGTTATGTGATGATAGCTAGCAGGGATGGTGGAATTTAGTGAGGCTTTTTTAAGGGTGTGAGAGATAAGGAATGATAGTGGGGGCAGTCTACTGGAAAAGATGGGAAGAGAGAAGATCAAAGGCACATGTAGAAGGGTTGTCCTTGGTGAGGTTGTCCTCTTCCTCACGGACTACAGTAAGAGAAGAAACAGTGGGGGGGTGATACCAAGATGAGAAGGGTGAGCTCCTTGTGAATAACCTTGATTTCTCTCAATAAAGTATAAGCCTCACCTGAGTGGGACAGAGAAAGGATTTTGGGGAGAGTTTTGGAACAGCTGTTGTGGAAAGTGAGATAGGTCATCAATTGGGGAGTAATAAAAGGACTGTCTTGCTGGGGGTGAGCACCCAGTTGAGATTAGATGACAGATTTGCATAGGACGCAAGCTACATGACTTCCTCAGTTTCCTCTAGTGTTCTGCTGCAGGTGAGTGGAGTGGAATGGAACTGGCAGGTGGTAGTAATTCAGGGTTGGGATTTGTGTGTGGGAGCCAAGAATTGAGCTGATTAGCACTCTCTCCCTCTTAAAATTATTTTATATTTACTTGTTTACCGTTGTGTTTCCCCACAGAATTTAAACTTCTTGAGGGCAAGGACTTTTTTTAGTATTGGTATTTCCATTCCCTAACTCAGTGCCTAGGTACTTAAGAAATGTTTGTTGACTTGAATTCTGTGAAATATAGCTCTGGAAAACCAGGCTTTGATAAAGCCCATTGGGATTCAAATGGAACTACTTGACTAGGCCTTTAAACCCAAATCACTTTGGCTCTCACTGATTGGCCAGTAGGTCCCAGCCCAAGCCTCACTTGCTCATTGTTTGGGTGCATATATACCTTCTTTCTGTTCTGGGCAGAAACTGAGGGTCTTCCTCTTCCAGTCTGAGTCTTTTGTGAAGACAAACTAGGCCATCTTTTGCCTCAGTTCTTACGTAGCCTTTAACTACTTGAATGGGTGTTGCCTCAGACGGCTGAGATCTGAGGAAATACCTTAGCTTAAAAAAGCCAAGGTTATCTACTGCATCGGGCCATCACCAGTTGTCCCAACCTGTGTCTTGCCACTGGACTCCAGTGACTGTGGAGGACTGTGAGGCTGATGACTTTGCACAGCCTTGCCTCGCTTAAGTCCAGTTCACTTGCAAGTCAAGACATTGCCCTCCTGATGTCATTGGTCCTCTTGAGAACAAAGAATGAACAAAAATAACCCTGCAGGAACACCAAAACTTTTATTGCCATTTTTCTGATAATTCTGATTTTAAAAGTTGAGCTCTTACAGAGCCTTGGAAAGTCGGAAGTATTCCCTTCATTTTGAAATGAAGGACTTTTATTGTCAAACATGAGTTCTGTAGTTAGTGCATGCTAATATGCATAGAGCCTTACCCAAGATTTACAGAGTATACTTAGCCTTAGCATCACTTGACAACATCATAATAATGATGAATTTAGTGTACTAGGGTGAAATGACAAAATGCTGAAAATTTGAACTTGCTTTTACCTTGAGATTCTAGAAATGGTAGCTGTATAGGGACCTATTGTATAAGATTCCTATTCCAAAATCAAAATCACCTCACATGTTTTTGAGTGCCTACAGTGCAGTGCTCTGTGGGGAATACAAAAAAGCAAAAAACCTGCCCTCGAGGAGTCTCTAGTCTAGCTGTGGAATATATAAACAGATGAAAAGCTTAATGACAATAAAAAATTGGAATGGCAGTTGAAGAACTCAGTAGAAGAAATGTCTCATGGGTACATGATTAGTTGGCAAAATAATTGCTTCAGGAATTCAGAGGAGAGAACCCCACAGGCTGGAGCTGGTCAGGGAGGTGTTCATTAGAGGTGGGATTTAAACAGAGTCATAAAGATTGGTTATAGAAGAGGAGGAGACAGAACAAAAGAAGAGGGTAGAATGAGGAGAGTAAAAGCTAAGAATTGTGGGAAAGGATAAAGTCTATTCAGAGGATGGTGAGAAAGCTAGTTTTCCTGGAGTGGAGGATTCACATTTAGGTTTAGTCTGAGCTAAGGCTAGATAGAAAGCTCAGGACTTGAATGCCAGGCGTTATCCAGGGACTTTTACAAGGTTTTGAACAAGACGTTGACATGAACAAAGCTATATCAGAAGATGCGTAATCTGGCAGCTGTGGTAGAGGGGACAGGGACCAGAGGCAACGTGTTCATTTTAAAAGGTGGTTGTATTAGGCTGAGGTGATCGTGACCTGAACTCATTGGTGGCAATGGGAATGGAAGGATAGATATGAGAAAACTTAGAAGAATTGACAGGATTTAGTGACTAGCTGAATATGGAAGCCAAGAATGAGGGAGTCAAAGTTGACTTCAAGATTTTAAAACTTGAATACTGGCAGAACCATTCATGTAACATCCCCAGCTCTTAGCTGAGATGGGACAGACTGGTATTGATTAAAGGCAGTCCTCAGGTCAGAGGAAAGAACCCTCCTGGGAAACCATAGGTTTAAGCCAAAGTTCATCAGAACACCAGATCCAAAGAAGGGGAGTAAGGAAGTGTAAGCGGTGGAGCTAGCAGTGTGTCAAGGCATGAGGGGAGGTGTCCTGCTCAGCTTACCTATAAGCAAGATAACAGTTTATATTGTGGGACTTCTGTATCCAAGAAATTATTCATTTATGGCATACCGCTAATTATTTTTCAAAATACATTTTTATTGATATCTTTTTTTATATCACCAAATTTCTCCCAGCATCCCTCCCTCTCCACCCACCCAAGAATCTCATCTTATATAACAAATAACATTTTGCTAAATATGTTGACGTGGGAAAAAATAATTAAGAAACACAGCATGGGATATAGGGAGCTAGTTTTTCTTTTTGAGAAATGAGTTCAGTTTTAGATATAACAGAGGTGACATGAGGATATCCAAATGGAAAGATCCAGCAGGCAATTGGAAATATGAGGCTAGAACACAAGACAGGGTAGGCCTGTAGAGTTGGGCATCCTCTGCATAAGCCGTGATAGTTGAAACTGAGATTAGATGAGACCTGAGAACAAATAAAGAGAAGTGGCCTGACCCTTGGGGGTCATCCACATTTAAGGGAAAGGAGGAGGAAAAGAACCTATTAAGGAAGATAAGAATATTCAGAGGTAGAAAAAGAACCAAGAGATTACCCAAGGGAAGAGGAATGTTGACACACAGCAGCCAAACTGATATTCCTAATGTACAGATTTAATTTCCTACTCAGAGATTTTCAGTGGCCCTTGATTGCCTCTAGGATAAAATATAAAATTCTCAGACTGACTTTTTATTTTATTTTTTTCCAGTTTCTGCTTTTTATATTTTTCCTTCATTCTTTTTTTCCCCCCTTTTGGTGAGGCAATTGGGGTTAAGTGACTTGCCCAGAGTCATACAGCTAGTGAGTGGTTATGTGTCTGAGGCTAGATTTGAACTCAGGTCCTCTAGATTCTAAGGCCAGTGCTCTATCCACTGTGTCCCCTGGCTGCCCCCTTTATTTTATATTTTTCAAAGTTAACTTTAACGCCTGGCAAATTCCCAACTACTTAACAGTGGCATGTGGTATGTGGAGGCAATCATGAGTACAGTATACAGTATATATACAGCATATAGCACAGAAGTGCTGCAGTCTAATCATTGTTGCAAGAAGGGTGTAGGGAATTTTTATGGAGCAGTTAGTGTTGTGTGCCATAGGGATTTCCGTGGATTTCCATAAGATGGTTGTGGTTTAGGAGCCAAAATATAGCAACATGTAACCTCTTGTACCATTATTAGATTAGCAGCACCAGAAAGATAGGGTGGCTTTTGTTGTTTTTGGAAATTTCACACAAGTGATCTAACAAATGCTTTAAAATATTTTAAATCACGTTAAAAGCAATTTGGTGTCCCCTGGAATGAAGTGGCACAGAAGTGCAATGCCATGAGTCAGGAAATTTAACAGTTGAAACTGCAGCTAAATGAGAGGTACTAGAATTGCCAAAAAAAGGTGATTCTCAAGCATTTCTCAGAGAACAGGGCTCTCCAGTAAGGAACAACACTGTATCCTTTTTTCCCTGAAAAGAAAGGAACTGAGTTTGAGAATAGAGAATGATGTTTCTTCTGAGATGGCGCCGTAGGTCTGGATTACTACCCTTCAGACAAAGGAGGAAATTACACCATAATGAGTCTCATTCTGTACCTCCCAAGTTAGTGCCTGCGGTAGCCTGGGTGTCCCAGGGTCAGCCTGACTTCTTAAAATCTTCTACCTACCTCTCCATTCTTATTTCATTGATTGCCTTTTCTTCAGTCAAACTGGCTTGCTAGCCACACGTGTCATTCCATCTCTCACCTTTGCTGTCCCTCATATCTAGATTGTTCTTTTCGCCTCCAAATGGTAGAATCCCTAGATTCCTTCAGAGCACAGATCAAGTGCCCTCTCCCCCACAGTGCCTAGCCTCACATTCACACTTACTAGTTCTACCTTGCGTCTGCTTAGAAGTGCACATTTTGGTTTCCTCAGTACACTGTGAGCTTCTCGAGGGCAACGGCTGAGTTATTTTTGTCTCCATGACTCCAGCACCTAGCACAGTGGCTGGCACACATGGGAGCTTGATCAGTATTTGTTGAATTGAAACGCTGAAGAGAGGTCAAGGAGAATGATGGAAATTTGACATAAAGGTAGATGAGAGAGGGGCTCGACTTTTCCATTGGTGTGTTTGTGCGCACGAGCATACACGCACGCATGCGGGCTCACAGAACTGAGTGAGGGCAGGTGCTGCATAGCAGATCACAGTCTCATTTGTCTGCTGACCTTCCACAGAGCCAAGCTTCCATGCCCCTCAGAGTAGATAAGAACATAGCCTGCATAATTCAGGTTTGTTGGCCAAAGTTAGGCCTCAAGCTTCCCACTGAGTGGCAAGTGACAAAAGTTTGGGCTCTTCCATGTCCTTGATTTTTCCTGTAGCCCCCACAGCCCTCCCAGAAGTTCTACAGCATGGCTGCCCAGATCAAGCTACTCTTGGAGATTCCTGAGAAAATCTGGAGCTCCATGGAAGCCTCTCAGTACCTGCGTGCCACCCAGCTTTACCTGCTCTGCTGCCACCTTCACAGCCTGCTCCGGCTGGACTCCAACAGTGGCTGCTATAGCCCTGTTCTGGCCCGTTTCCCGATCCTCGTCCGTCAGGTGGCAGCAGCCAGCCACTTCCGGTGAGTCATTGATGCAGAAGATCATTTCCTGGGCTGATTCTGGAGGCTCACAATTAGTGGGTTATTACTTTCCTCTTCTGCCATTTAAGATTCTTCCCAGTTGTTTCTTGGGGTTCTTCCATTGCCTTGGACTGGCTTGAGATCCCATTTACCTTTGTCCTCTCCTTTGCCCTTTTGTTTTATTTCTTCCTAGGTCAACCATTCTGCATGAAACCAAGATGATACTCAGATACCAGACTGTGTCTGACCAGGCCATTGCAGAGGCCTTGTCTTCAGTCATGCTTCTAGAAGACAGTTCTCCTCGACAGGCCCTCGCAGATTTCCTGTTAGCCAGAAAGGCCGCCGTTCAGCAGCTTCTCAATCAGCCGCACCATGGTAGGGAAAGCTGATTTTCCTTCAAGATTTGATCCTCATAAGCTGAGAGAGAATCATTTCTTTGAGATTATTTTTGACCACAGACTTTCATAGACATATACTTAAAATGAAATTCCTGTCCATTTCAGTAAAAGAAGATGCTTTCTTCATGTAGGTGCTGGTATTAAAGCTCAGATTTGTTCATTAGTGGAGCTGCTGGTCACTACTCTGTTCCAGGCCCATGCCCTCTTCTACACTTTGCCTGAAGGTGTGCTGCCTGATCCATCCCTTCCATGTGGCATACTCTTCTCTACCCTGGACTCTGTCACAAGCCAGCGGCTTGCAGGTGAACCCCCTGAGCACCTTCCTTAAGAGAATGGTATAATATGATATCATTCCATTTCAAGTCTGATTTACTTCTCTTTCAAACTCAGGCACAGCCTCCGCATTATATCTGTTTCCAATACACTTTTAAGTACAATAGCTCCTCCTTTTTTCAAAGGCATTAGAAATCATAAAGCCAGAAAGGACTTTACGATGTCATTTGGTCTATTTCCCTACCACTAGGCGTGATTTAAATCCAGAGGAAGCAGTTGTCTGCTGTCTCTGGATAGTGAAGCACATAGGAGTGAGAACATTTCCTAAGTTTCCATGTTTTTAAATATCAGATTTAATTCTGATTTTTCATATTTGAATTCATAACTACCACTCCAATATTCTCTTCCTAAATTTTCCTTTTCTTTTCCTGTTCCCTATTTTACTGGGAACCAGTTTCTCAAAGTAGTAGGGAATTGTGGAAGGGTTAGCCTGGAGTGTATGAGAAAGAGAGAGAGAGACACACACACACACACACACACACACACACATGTGTTGGGAAGACCTGTAACTCATTCTCATACCTTTATTTTTCCCACTTCAAGTATCGGCTCCAGGGATGAAGATTTCATTCACCCTATGTAATTCCTTTCATACCTGCCCAGAGGAGGGGGAAGACTTAAGACTCCTATTTATTCTGTTTAAACTATTGTTGACCAGTAGGCTTCATCTGTTTAGGGAAAGGCATCATCAGTGTCTTGCAAGAGATGAAGCTGTGTAGCTGGTTCAAGTACCTCCCAGCCTCCATTGTGGAGTTCCAGCCAGCTCTTCGGACTCTTGCACACCCCATCAATGAGGAGTACCTGAAAGACACTCTACAGAAATGGATCAGCATGTAAGCCTCGAGGGAGAGGTTTCCGTAGGCTGGTAGCAGTGGCTGCTTTTCATGGTTCCCTGAGGCAGAGAGTGTGTGATGGTGGATCTCCTGAGGGCCACTGCGTGGCGCTCCTCAGGCCTGTGACCCACTCAAAAACATGTCACTGTCCTCAGCCTAAGGGGAAAAAAGCAGCACATCTATGAGGGGGGGTATGGGAAAGAGGCTACACATTGACAGGGGACTCAAAAGAAAATGATTGTGTTGCAGGTGTAATGAAGACATCAAAATTGGGATCACCAATTTGCTGGTTTATGTAAAGAGCCTGAAAGGCCTTGCAGGGATCCGAGATGCTGCGTGGGAGCTGCTCACCAGCGACTCCATGAGCCGCAGCTGGGAGGTGGTGTGCCGACGCCTCCTGGATAAGCGCATCTCCTTCTGGGAGGACCTGTTGCAGCAGCTGTTCCTGGACCGACTACAGGTGAAGGGAGGGCAGGTATAGGTGCTGCTCTCTCAGATAGTGCCTGGTGACCCTTCCTGAGGTGTTTGCCCCTCACCATCCCTGCTTGGCTCAGGGCATTTTCCTGTTAGCTTTCATGTCTCACTAGGGTTGCTCAGCTTACTCTGGGGGTGAATAAGTCCTACCAATTAGCATAGTTGCAGATGCTGGAGTAGAAAAAATGAGACTAGGTTTTAAAAAGCGTGTAACTAAGAGAATTTTTTTTAACTTGGAAAAATGACATCAACATAGAAAACGCTCATAGAATTGAATTAAATGCCTGCTACATGTAAGGCACTGTGGTAAGCCTGGCAGATACAAAGACAGAATGGAAAATGGTCCCTGCCCTCAAAGAACTTATATGTTTTTGACTGAAACAACCTGTGCCATAGATAGATAAAGACAAGGTAAGTGTTTGAGGTGAGAGAGAATGCTGATAACTGGAGGAGTCAGTAAAGGCTTTGTGCAAAGGCCTGGACAAAACCAAGTCTTCTAAGGGAGGGAAGTGGGGAAGGAAGAGCATGTCATGCCAGGAGAACAGAAGTGGGCTCGTTTGACTGGAAGCTGGAGGTGAATGAAAGGTGCCGAGGGAGCTGGGGGGTGTGGTGGATGTTTCTGAGGTTTCCTCTCAGGAATCTGACTGGGATTCTTTCTCATTCTTTTCTAGACACTGACAAGAGAAGGCTTTGATTCTATCTCCAGCAGCTCCAAACAGCTTCTGGCTTCAGCTCTGCAGGAGCTCGAAGCCAGTTCCAGCGCCTCCCCCAGTAAGCAGGTTCAGTTTGAACACAATATGTCTCTCTTTCTCTGGTCAGAGAGTCCTTCTGACTTGCCTTCAGATGCCGCATGGGTCAATGTGGCAAACCGGAACCAGTGTGCCAGCAGCGGCCTCTCCATGAAAGCCCAGGCCCTCAGCCCCTACGTACAGAGCTTTTGTCTTGCCCTAGACTCCAAACTGAAGGTCATACTGGATGACCTCTTGTCATACCTTCCCTCAGATGCACCCAAGGAGGCCTCAGGCGTGCAGATCAAGAATTCGGCTTTTGATAGGTATTCGGATGCGGGCACTGTGGAGGGAATGCTCCGAAACTACTGTGCCACCTGCACCGAACAGATAGTGGCATGTGTGCGTACTGAGCTGCAAGGGGCCGAGGCTGTGCTACAAAGGCTGGCCCATACCCTCTGTCGTTCCAAGCTCTCCTCAGTTCTGTTCATGGCCAGGCTCTGTCAATCCCTTGGAGAACTGTGTCCCTATCTAAAGCGATGTATTTTGGGCAAATCGGGCACTTCAGAGAAACCTGTGAGGGAGCCCCGGTCTACAAAGAAACAGACGAAAGGAAAAGCTCAGGAAGTGAATCCTGTTCTAGCAAAATGGCAAGAAGTGAAAGGGCAGCTCCTGGAACAGAGTCTGCTGGGATACCGGCTCTGGAGCACGGCCATCACAAATGTATGTGGATGTGGGGGGTGGGAGGGGGGTGGGAAGAGAGGAGGGAAGGAAGATAGGAACCTGCCCTTACATTATGTTAGAGGAAATAAGATATATACAAATAATTGTAATACAAAGGGGAAGCACAAAATGTGACAAAAATTCACTTCTAGCTGGAATTATCAGGGAAGGCTACATGGGAGAGGTCGTACTTGAACTAGGCCTTAGGGTTTCAGCAGGTGAAGGTGGGTATAAAAAATATTCCAGGCATGAGGAATAGTATAAACAAAGTAGAAAACTTCAGAGGTGTTAAGGGATTGTTAACTGGTGCAGTTTGGCTGGAGAATTAGGATCTGTGGGTTCCTCCATTGGAACCAGGTTTGGGGTGGGGGCAGTCCTTTGAATACAAGGCTAAAGAGTTGTCTTTGTTAGGCATTGGGGAGCTTACTGTATATGTTTTTTAGCCAGGGATTAATGTCTTCAGACATGTGTTGATTAACCTAGCAGTAATGTTTAGTGTGGATTGGAGTAGTGAGGAGAGATTGCAAATAAGACCAGACTCCCGCACTAGTCCAGGGCAGACATACTGAGAACCACATAGAAGTGGCAATAGAGATGAAGGGTTGGGGACAACTGTAAGAGATTTCAAGGTAGATTTAAGAGACTTGGCAGCTGTATGTACGGCTGTAGGTAAAGAAGAGAGAGGTCAAAGGTGACCTCGAGTTTTTAAGCCTGGCTTAGTTCAGTTTGGTTTGGGATATGCTGAATCTGAGCTGCCCGTGAGACATTCAAGTTATCACTTTCCCAGATCTCTAAACCTGTTCAGTTCTGGCACTAACATTTCAGTTGCCAAGGCTTGACCTGTCCTTGTCCCTCCTTATGAGATACCAAATCCTTGAGTCTACCTTGCAATTCTTTCTCTTCTTCAGATCGTACCTCTCCTAGGACTACTGCAATAGTCTAATTGGTCCCCTTGCCTTTAACCTCTCTCCATCCAATCCATCCTATACACTATCGCTAGATTAATCTTCCCAGTGGTGGCAGGGGTGTGAACCTCCCTAACTGCCCAAAAAGCAGGGCTGTCAAGAATAGATTTGGGGTTGTTGGTGTGGAAGGTGATAGTTTAAATTGTGCCAGTGCCAGTGCCAGTGGAGGAGTGTGCTGAAGGAAAATACAGAAGAGGAAAAGAAAGCTAAAGATCCTTGGAAAAATGCCTGCATTTAGGGAGCTGGGTGAGGTTACAGCAGAAATAGCTTCTGCCACGCTGTGCTCCCCTGATTCTCCTACCTCTTCAGCTGCAAGGAGAGAGTGTCAGGGAGGGAAGGGTTACCAAGTGTTAGAAGTATCATTGCTAGTTGAGGCATGGGCTGGTGGTGGAGAGGCGGCATCCAGTTAGCCTACTCTTGCTAGTAGTTAAGCAGTGGAAAGGAGGAGATAGTAGTGGTTTGGAGTAGGGGTGGGATAGGAGTGACTGTGTAGAGAAGGGGAATGAGCCAGTGGAGAAGAGTATTGAGGATTAACTGGATGAAGGACATTGGGGTGATTGATAGAGCAGGGCCCTGAAAATGGGAAGACATGGGATCAAAAGCACAGTTGGAAAGATTAGCTTTAAAGAGGCTGCCTCATTCTGAGACAAGATGAAGACGTAAAGTTCAAGTGTGGAAGGAGCTCCTGTTAAATGACTTCATTGTTCTTAGTAGGAAGCCTTCCATGTGGAAATAAATAAATGTGGGGGCTTTGAGGGGACTAGAAAAAGCTTACCATCAATCACTAGCATTTTTTCTTACCAGACCTCTTTCCTGTTTTCCCTAGTATATTTTTTTCTATTCAGTGTCATGACCTTAAGAACTGGAAATCAGCTTCATCAGCTGAAAATGTGGGATCCCTTCTGGGGATTGGGTGGTTTCATCACCATTCTCCTCCCTGGAAAGAATCTGTTCTTTTCCAAAATATCTACATCGTTTTGGACTCGTATTCAAGTGCCAGCTTTTAATTGAAAAGCTATGTTGCTGTCTTCTAAGTTAACAGGAACATCCCGTATGCTGCTTTTGAGAACTTAGGAACAAGGGGAATGGATATCATTTACTCAAAAGGCTCAGCACATGACAAGATGCCCTTTCTATGGCATATTCACTTGTTTATACCCACCCTGGACGTATCTGTGAGGTGTTCCATTGAATCTCTTTCTTTGATTGCTAGGTCCTGGCTCATGATTTCACCCAGTCATTACTTCTTGATGATGCTGGTTCTATCCTAGCTATGGCCACCAACTGGGATGAGCTAGAAATCCAGGAGGAGACAGAAACTGGGAGCAGTGTAACATCCAAGATTCGACTGCCAGTACAGGTGAGGTAGAGTCACTTTCATGTGAGCCTCAGTTAGAAAGAACTGCTTCCTGAGAGGCATAGGGAAAAAGATGGACAAATCTGGGGTCAAGTCCTAGTGCAGTCTTGGGCATGTGACCACCTTTCTGGGCCCTACTTAGTTTTTCTCTAAAGTAGAATTTCTTGCACCACTACCTTATAAGGTTGTAGGAATAAGTTAAGTATATTGAGATTTATTTTAAAGTGCTGAAATGTAATTAATCATCTTACAAAGTGGTTTGTTGTAATTTGCTGGTGAGGCACAATGAGTGTGCCAAGGCACACAGTTAACTAGTGGGAATTGAGAGACTGGGTATCCAGTTTCCTGATGCCTTTCCTTTAGTAGGAGCCAAAATAGTGTCATGTAGAGAATAAGTTAGGACCCTTACATCAATTAAGGATTAGAACTTCAAAGTTTAGTAACTGAATTTTCCAGTTGTTAATTTTCCCACACTCCTATAAAGCATGGCTTCCCAAACAAGATTCTACCTTGTCTATGAATTTTGTTACCTATGGGCCATGAAAAGAATGACAGCCCCCTCACACAAAGGGCTTTTGCAGAAGTACCTGGGTAAAAAATTTTCATTTTACTATCATGGTCCTCCTCCTGAAGTCTTTGTGCTGTGTGTGAAGCAGAGTCCTGGAATGGTATGTGGGGCAGAGATGGTTGATATAAGTGGTCAAGTCCCAGTCATGTTAAAAGAAGCATTATATAGCTAAACCCATCCTACTTTCCCCATGACCCCATTTTGATCGCCTGCCAACTCCTTTCTAAATGACAGTATTTGATTCTTGTAGCCATCCTGGTATGTACAATCCTTCCTCTTCAGCCTGTGTCAGGAAATAAATCAGGTTGGAGGCCATGCCTTGCCAAAGGCAACACTGCAGGAGATGCTAAAGGGGTGCCTGGTTCAAGTATTAGCAGGCTATGAAAAGCTTTCTGAAGAGAAGACAACAAAGGTATGTTGTAAGGCTCATCTCTGCCTAAAACATGTCTTGGTTTGCAGTAGCTCTGATGGGGAGTTTAGACATATAAGTCATAGCTTTCAGACATACTTGGCAATACCTTTAGGAACACTTGGGCCAGGTACCAATTACTAGGATATCCAAATACCTTTCTCTCTCACCCAGTTAAATTATACCTTTCCCCTCAACCATGGTTTGCATTTCTTAAAATGTGAAACCAGTCTCCATGTATTCATCCTTCTTAAGCCTGTGCATACCCAAGTTTAATGCTGATCAAATTCAGCTCTTGGCTATATCTTTCCTACTAAGACGATGTAATTCCCATTGATAGCAAGAGCATCCAGCTTCCCCTTCCTGTTAATTTATGCCTGTCTTTTATAGCAGAGAAGTTCCTCTTTTCCTCACCTTCCTAAATTGTCACACGGGACTCATTTGACCTGCTGGTACAGGGTGTAAGCCTTCAATCTGTTACAAATTGGAGGCTTTAACTTTTAGACCGAGGCCTAACCTGAAATTTGGACTAATCAAGCAATTAGAGTTCTTTTATCTAGAAACTTGGAATTTCAGTTGTAAAAGTCTTCTCTCAAAATATCAAAATTCAACTTGCCCAAGACTAATTCTGGATTGGTTAGTACAGTAATCTCCAAACATTTTTAATTAAACATACCTACTGGTAAAAAATTGTTGAGCACACATTCCTGGTATATGTAATTTACTTACAGTAAATAAAAGTATATACATGTGCTACTGCACTAATTATGTACATTGTAAAACTTACACAAAAATAGAAATCTTAGAAGGGTGAGATATAAATGACTACGTGTCAGGGGTGGGAAATCTGAGGCATCAAGGATAATAGGTTGTGAAGGAAGGTGGTATGGACAGTAATTGGGAAATATGGAAGAAAGAAAAAGCAACATCTTTGCTCTTTCACAACCCATCCATTTCTGCTTATTCTGTGTAGTTCACTGTCCCTTCTAAAATGAAGTGGCAGAGGTGGTTAGGTTCCTCTTATTCATCAATCACTGCCCTAGATATAGGGTGAAGGGGTTATGGCATTTTCCTTTTAGCATCCGTGTAGCTGCTGCTGTAGGGACTCAGATCTCCTTTTCCTTCAGAGATGACACCTGGCTCAGTAGAGGGAATAGATGAGGCAGGGTAGAGGAACATGGTGTTGGGAACAAACCAGCCCCACAACTGGGCAGGGCAGGGATGAAATGTGTCTCCCAAGCTTCAGTTTGACTACCACACCCCCCTTGGGGTCAGGCCTAGTCCCTCTGGGGTGACAACTGTCTTCCCATTTTGGAGATCACTAGGTTAATGAATGACTGCTGGTATGCCCATATAATTCTTCTTTGTGTTTGGGGAAAACAATTTGCAGAAAGAAGGTACATTCCCAATGACCCAGAACAGGGCGCTGCAGCTACTTTATGATCTGCGTTATCTCAATATTGTGTTGACAGTCAAAAGTGAAGAGATGAAAAGTAGTCGAAGTAAACAGGACTCCAGGTATTGTACCTTACTCATTCCCCTAAAAGGCCATTTTGGGGGTGGGGTTAAGGGTCATGTTGAAAGTTAATGATTTTGATTTGAAAACTAAGTGCCCACATTGCTAATAAAACACTAGTCATGTGGAGGCTGCTAAATTGTAGGTATGTAGAGAAAATAAGTTATCTGAATCTCATATATCACAAGTCTGCAAACCTTAAGAGTGTAATCTGGCCCTCTTCCCCCAAAATTAACAACATGGAACACTCTAGTCCAACGCTGAGGTTAATTGTGGAGGCTACTCTGCATTATACCTGTGGGAAAAAGGTGAGCTACCATTTAAAAAGCAAAAACAAACAAATAGAACAAATCCCAGTACTGGGTTTTTTCTAGGACATGTATAGGTTTTTATAATAGCTTTCTTTTCAGGATACTGAAAAGCAATTCTCATTCCAATTTTTCTTTTCCAGAATAGAAAAAGTAACAGACTTCTTAGAAGGTCTCATAGATCCTTTTGACCTAGATGTTTTTACACCACACTTAAATAGCAACCTTAATCGCCTGGTGCAACGAACCTCGGTAAGTCAAGATGGGAACAGGCTTCTTTCTGAGTTGTAAGCTTAGTGTGAGGGAGCTCAGGTTGCAAAATAAACAAGTCAAAGCCTTTGGCAGTGCATTAGCAGCTGCCTCTCAGCTGGAGATTGTGGAGGAAAAGCCAAGCAAGTCATTCTAGTTAAAGGTGAGTGCCATGTTATAGCAGGCAAAGTTAAACCTTAACTCAGATTATCATTACAAAAAAATCCACCCCAAGTGGTTGGGTAAGGACTGACCTTTTAAAAACTGCAGCAAGGAAAGCTTAAACAAAGTTTCCTGTGATCAGTGGTAAGAAATCACTTTTAGAGTAGATTTAGTATTCTACTCAACTTGAAGCAGAAAAAAAGTTGATCAGAGGCAATATTTAACCTAAAAGAACACTTCCGTACTTTAAGAAGGCAATAAATAAAAGATCCCCATCTTAATTTTCCCTTTATAAAATTTCCCAGGTTCTATTTGGATTGCTAACTGGTATGGACAATCAGTTTTCTGCCCGGAGCAGCACCTTCAACTCCCAAGAGCCCCATAATATACTACCACTGGCATCAAGTCAGATCAGGTAAACTTTCATATGGGACTTCATCTAAGCTCTGAAGTTTTCTGTTGACTCTTCTGAAACCTGTCTTCATTCTGCCTTTCAGGTTTGGACTTCTTCCACTTAGCACAACTAGCACAAGAAAGGCTAAGTCCACTAGCCGAAGCACAGAACCCAAAGACCAGGTTAGTAAGCACAGCATCTCCCTCCCCACTTTCCATAGAACCTTTGGGGGATCTCTCTCTCTTAAATACTAAGAAAGAACTAAATGACAACATTCACTAATGCTGCATTTAATGGTGGTGCAATACAAGTACAAGATCTTACTAGATTGAGCTGATAGATGTTTAAAAAGATGATCGTGTTTAGACATTAAGCAGCCTCACTGTGGAGATAGTATTTTAGGCTGCTAATACTATAGAAAATTCTGCAAAAGATAGGACGGAATTTATTTAGCAATACGAGGGAGGGGGCTGGAGTTACATACCCAGCCCCAGAAAATGGTTCTACTCACTTGGAAAACAGAAAAAATTGTTTTGTCATGGTCTCATCCTCCACAACGTATTTGTTAGGAAGAAACAGGAAACTTATTGCTTTTTCAAGCTGTTTGCCATCCAGTGAAGCCTGCAGCAGTCTTACTGGGGTATTTCAAAACTCAAACCAGTTCTCTCCCCATAGTATCTGCTTGCCCTATATAACTGAAAAGCAGATGTTAGTTTTGTATTCTTTTCTCATTCTCTGCAAACCAGTCCATTAGGGCCTTCTTCCAAAAAACTTTTAGATCTTACATGTTTTTAAAAAGTGGTGAGAGGAACAGAGACAATTTACAATTTCCCCCCAAGGATAATTAGACTTCAATTTAGACAAAATTATGCCCGTTCCAAAGATGTTTTACCTCTGGCAAATCCTATTCACACTCAAGAAGCCAGCAGTGGGAAAGAAGTGTATTTAAGCTTGTCCTTTTCCTTAAAAATCTGATTTAGTAGTTTTGTTTGTCACACAAGTAAAAGTTAATACCAGTCAAGAGAAGTAGTTCCTTCAAATCCAGTCTTTTTCTAACCTTACCTAGAGGGGAAGGTCCTCTCACTAGCAATCCCAATAGTTTTTAAGATCTGCTTCTATGTGCTGGGTGGCTTTCAGAACAGAAGACTGGAGTGGGTGAACAGGTAAGAGAATCCTGGTAGAATCTAAGGCACTTTCCTTTCAATCTAATGGCAGGTTGTACTTCCAACACTCTCCAGAGCAGAAGATGACATGATGCGTCCTGGTTCCTTGTTCAGACAGCTTGTCACAGAGGAGGAAGACACATCTACACCATCTCTTTTCAAACTTAGTTGGCTCTCTAGTATGACTAAATAAAATGAAGCAATTTATCAGGACATACCTCTCCTTTTCTAAATAAATATTACCATGTATTTATTAGTGCCTCTGCTAATTTGTTTCTAAGTTCCACCAATTTCTGTGGTTTCAATGAGGGAGTGTGGCTCCCCAGTGACTATTAGAAGGTACTTCAAATATTAAACTGAACCTAAGCTAACACATAGTTCTACAGTACCTGTTACCTTAAACACCAGCTCAGGTTGCTTAGTCTTTACCATTAGTCATCTGTGCCTTGCTAGACAAAACAGGTGGAATTACCACAAAATCATTTTAAGCTGCTAACATACATTTGTGTCCGAGACAAAAGTTACAAATACAGTACAACTTCTTGTCTTTCAAAACTGTGCAGTGTTTGCTAAGAAGCTTGAAATCTAGCCTTTGGAGGATTAATGATATCATAGAAATAATTAGGGTTCAAGGAAGTATCTAAAAGACATTCTCCTTGGAATGCAAACACTTTACATAGGGAAGAGAAAACAGGTTGTAGGGAGGGTGTTTCCATCTTACAAAGTCTAATCTAATAAGCTTGGTCTAATTTTTCTCCCCCTGTAACAGGGGAAATTAATTTCAATAGGACATCTGCATACTGAGAGGTAGTATGGTAGCCAGCTTCAGTCCCAGACAGAAGCAAGCTCTTTTATACTTTGGGAAAGAAAACTAATGTATTTCATGCAAACTAGTCTTTACTAGTTTACCAAATTTTTTTTAAAAATCCTTAAAATTTGAGGACCCCATGTTTTAAAAGGACTCCTTGCACAAAGCAGTTAGTCTCCAATTGGTTTCCAAATCTGAAATGGAGCCAGTATGGACTCTTAACATGCAGATGTGGTTTCCTCCTACCGTCACCTTCACTGAGATGACACCCATCCTGAAAAGAATCCCATAAAAATGGCTTCAAAGCCCCTCTGAAATTGCAATAGTGCAGCAAAACCACAAGTAAACAAATGCCTGCTAACCTGTTATTTCAAATATAGACTGAAAAGCCAACAGGCATATTTTGTGCAATTTTTTAACAAACTTTTTAAGTTGAAATATCAAATCTGCACAGTGCTGTCCCTTCACAGAAGGCAAGGAACTGCTAGTTCATCATGTAGGAGGTCGTCCTCGGTGCTGTAGGCTATAAAAGTGTGCCTCCTTCAGAATCTGGTTGATGTGGAAGTAAGGGCCTTGGCATAGTGCAGACTGCTCCTGTAAGGACTGAGGAGTATTAGGGCTGGATCCGGTAATTATCTGGTTTAAGCTGCTTTCCTGAACACTTCCCCTGTCTGGGCTATTGATGCTGCTGCTGGTACTACTGCTGCTGCTGCTGCTGCTGCTGCTGCTACCACCACTGTCACTGCTTGAAGACTAGAAAACAAGAGAAAAGAGAGAAGAAGGTTAATGGCAATAATATTAACTCTGCTTGTCCTCTTATACTAGGAACATTTAGAAAAACCCATATTATTCCCCTTAACACTTATGACATACTACTTTTACCACCCATTCCAACAACTTCTGTGTAGAAGGAAATTCTGGACCATCAATCATTGGGGACCAGGCTATAGTATTTGGGTAACATTCTAACCACCATCAATAAAAGGAAGGAAGAATGAAAGGAAGGAAGAAAGGGAAAGAGGCAAAAAAAAAGTGAGTGAAAGTAAAAAAGCAAATTTTGCCACAATTTTGTAGTTCTTACCTGATTATGAACTACACTGTACTATTATGATAATGCAAGAAGTGTACTTGGCTCAATCTTTAATAGAAGTTGGTAAAAAACGGGCATTCTTGTTTGGCATTAATTTTGCCACTTGCTTCCTCCCTTCTCACCTTTTTAACTAAATTCACCTGACTCCATGCCTCCTGCTGTCATATGGAACAATATCTGGACATTCAGTATCAGATTTTATTCTCAATATTAAGTCTCTAAAAAGAGGTCTTCCAACAGAATTCATTTCAAAATTAGGTTATTATACTTCTTAAATAACCCCAAGTAACTAGGTTAGGAACATTTATTCCATTCCTGTGATTCAAAATTTAACAAACCAATGTCAAAAACTTTAAACATATCAATACCATTAACACAGCAAGGGAAGAAAATCTAAGAAATTTAGAGTTTTAGTAATGATCCTATACACAATGAAAATTTAAATTTATGACCCCCTTTCAATTTGTATTCCTTTGAGTTCCTTGAACGATAGGCAGAAATGAAGATATTTAAAGAAACCCTTGTTTTGCTGCTCTTTCATAAGAGTTGGTAAACAATGGCCACCTGCCATTTAAATTTGAAATGTCATCTATGTATGTATAATTAAAACAAAAATAACTTTTAATCATGTCGAGTTCAACATATATGCACGACCATTTGTAAGAATATGGATGACAATATTAGGAAAAGTGACATTCTAATAACAGAACCAAACTCGTGTTCCACCAGTCATGTGTGTCTCTTCAACATGTGTTATGCCAATTTTTACTACAAGAAGCCAAGCAAATTCAGAAAGATAAAGTTTTTTAAGCTCAAGAAAGTAATTATTAAGCCATCTGAAGACAGGTTGAAGAATTTATCCACCATAAGATATTGTTAGCTGTAAAAATGAAACTTAAAAATTATCAAGTCAGAATAAGACAATATTTTCACTACAGGAATATATATTCTAGACTATGTATGCTGAAGACTCCATTTGAACAGGCCCCTGGGGTTAATGAATAGTAGTCACAAAGTAAGTTTGCTACACTGGATAAGAAACCCACCGCACAGAACACTTTGTTTCCTCTTAGTCTGTTTTCTTTACTGTTTTTCGTTACGGGTGCTGTCTGAAAATTAAGGTGAGAACTATAATCAGTTTCTAATCAAGCTTTCATCTTAAATTATAATATATCAAAGCCTACAATTGGAAAGACAAATTTGGTAATTCTTAGTGAAATGGCAATACCTGTTTCAAAACCGTAAAAGATTTTAATAAGTAAAAACAAAATACCTCTGAATAAAGTAAACTTCAACCCAAATTCAATTTAAGTCATACACTTGAGCACCACTGAAAATACTCCATGACAAAAGATCTCATTAATTTAGATCAACTAAATAGTTTTTACATTTATATATTTATATAACATGGTCCCTAAGCTATCAAAAAACTCCATTTATTACAATAGCATAAATAAGATTAGGGAGAACATTTAATCTTTCAAACTTCTCAATTTCTAAAAGCATTTTGGAGGTGCACTATATACAAACGAATGCATCTAATTAATATTTTTTATCTATGAAAAGAAAGGCCTGTATAGTATCGTCTACTTGATAACAACTACCTACAGGGATTATGTGAAAGTAATAAAACTACATTTAGATAGAATTATTTCTAAGATTTCTATAAATCCTATGAAACCTTTTGTCATTCCTTTAAAAATACTTTATACAAGCATACCCTACCCCCACAGTTGTCCCCAAGAAACGTTGTTTCACTATTAAATTATATTCTACATTAAAGCCAAATTCAATCACCCATTTGTAACATTGTTCCTGTGGAGGAACTAAGCATCATATTACTTCATCTATCTTATATTTTCCTGGAACCAAGTAAGATGTATGTGAAATGTGCAATATCGTTCTGAATTGTTACTAATTCAGAATTGTCCTTAACCCCAAATTGATACAAATCAACAAACATTTATTTATTAAGGGTCTACAATATGCAAAGTGCCATGCTATGGAAAATGGGTCACTATCATGCAGTTTCTAAGACAAATTGAACTGTAAAACACAGTATGAGACAATATGTGCATTAAAGAAGGGCAAAAGCAAGTGACTTTGAATGAAGACATATGCAAGAAAGGCTTAGTGAATAAAGGCAATACCATTATGAACTGGACTTTAAAGAATAAGTAGAAATAACACATGGGCAGATGGGAAAGGAAGCTATACATTCCGGACAAAGAGAATATCCTGAACAACTGTATGGAGGTGGAAAGAACAGAAGAACAGAGAGTATCCATCCAGTTTGGTTGGAGCACAGAGTACAAGTCAATGAATGAGATACGGCCTGGAAGGTAAGTTTAACCACCTGAAAGGCACAACATTTTACTTTGTAGGCAATTTAGAGTTAATGACTAATAGAATGACATGACCTAGGCATGAGAAAGATTTTTTGGCAGTTAGTAAGGATGGATAAAAGCAGAGGAGGGAAGTTATTCTAGTCCATGTAGGTGGTGATGATAGCAATGGCTGCAGAAACAAAAAGGAAAGGACATACTATGTGAGAAAGAAGTTATGAAGGTAAAATTGTCACAACATGGTAAATGTCATAACAGCTAGGTGGTGCAGTGAATACAGTCCTGGAGTCAAGCAAGGCGTGAAGTTCAAATCCTGCCACTTGCTAGCTGTGTGATGCTAGGCAAGTCACTTAACCTATCTCAGCTTCAGTTTCCTCATCTATAAGAGATGATAATAACACCCATACCTCAATGTTAGGACAATCAAATGAGATCAAGCACTTATATAAATGATTAAATATTAATTATTAAATGATCGGCCATGACAGGGAATGAAAACTAAAAAGATTATCCCACTCCTCACCCCCAAAGGTTCAAACAGAACAGAATTAGGCAGAATGGTAGTGTCTGTCACAGAACAAAATGGTTAAGTATGAGAAAGGAGCTACTGAGTGAAATGAATGAATGAATGGATGAATGGAAAGTTTAAGGGAAAACAAACTCTGTGCAGGATCTAAGATCACACATTTAGAGATGAAAGGAACTTAAGAGGTCACCTAGTCTGTGCTTTTCAATTAATCAGCAAACATTTATTAATGGCACTGGGAATACAAACAAAAATATAAAATATTCCCTTTTCCCTGAGGAGCTTACATTCTACCAGGGAAAACACTATGCACGCATATAAACAGATCCAAAATACATAAAAGTAAATATGAGTTAATTGGGGGAGACACTAATAGTTGGAAAAGGTTTCACAGATACTTGAAGTGACCTTTGAAGGAGGCCAGGGATTCTAAGAATCTCTTCATTTTATAGATGGAGAAAGACTCAGAGTTGAGTGACTTGCC